TATGAAAGAAGTGTGAGAAGGGTATTTGATAGAAGAAACGGAATGAACCTGACAGAATACTTCACATGAAAAGTTCATGTCGTCGACAAAATGCCTTTCATCATCTCTTATCGTAAGTGGTGGTGGTGGTGTGTTTGATCGTTAATCGACCATCGATAACGAAAGATCTAAAATAAATGTGAAAGGAAATGTTATACTTACGCCAATTATATTATTAACAATTTGGAAAATGAAGAGGAAACGATGATTAGGCTTGTCAAGCATCTGTGTAAACAAAGAAACCAGTAAGATTCTGTTATGAGTCTTACTTACCTGTATTACTTTGATTGAGATCCATTCAGTAATATTACGGTACATCTAGCAATGGCCTTGAAATGGTATGGCGGAAACTAAAAAAAAGAAAAAAAGACTAAAGTTCTCTAAAAATATCATAGATAATAGATGAAGAAATTACTTTCTTCATCACCCTATTCCAAAAATAGATTTATCTTTGCTAGTTGACGATGAACTTTCAACTAGTGATACTGAGAACCGGAAATAAGATGATGAATCGACGGTTGATAATACTCGTTCTACTATTGATTTTCAGCGAAGATCAAAGCTCTCAATAAGGTTACAAGAAACTACAGATGATAGATAAACTGAACTGGATATCGTCTAAAGATGAATCTATTTTTGGTAACACATTCATCAATTTCAACGGAAACGCCAGACAAGCAAGCAGATGTTTAACCCAAAACTGAATGATATCGTCATCTCTAGACTGTAACCCATGAAATTTAAACTTTGAAACATCAATTTATTGGGAGAGAAATAGAATGATAACGCACGCTACAGTAGTATATCCTAACCTAGAGTTCATGGCAATTAAAAGACACACCGGAAGCACGTGATCATAGAATCTTACTGCCCGCCCAGAAAATCTAAAACGAGCCAGACAGCTGAAGTTGGGCCAGACTATATAAGCTCTGCCGATGGGTTAGCTAACATCAACCGTCGAAAGACAACAAATTCACTACCTTTTCAACCTTCAAAACTTATTCAACTTCTAACCATGGTCGGACAGAAGAAATCTATCCAAATTCTCCAAGACAGACTTGCTCCACTCCAAGAGAAGCTTGACAAGCATGCTCTCTACAAAGCCATTCAAAACCTTGACGACCTTCGCTACTTCATGCAAAACCACGTCTTCGCTGTCTGGGACTTCATGTCACTCCTCAAGGTAAAATAAGCTCAAAACCACCTTAACTTACTTTTTCTATAGTACCTCCAACGTGAACTTACCTGCATCGATATCCCATGGGTTCCACAGGGACACAGAGATTCCCGCCGTCTCATCAACGAAATCGTCGAAGGAGAAGAGTCGGATTGTGTTGGAGGACGCAACATCTCCCACTTGGAACTTTACCTAGAATCTATGGAAGGAGCTAAATCTGATGCCAAGCCTTTCCTTGAGGTCATGAACACAATCAGCAAGAACAAAGACTTATCTGACGATGCTCTTGCTAAGGTAAGCTTAACGGTGAAGAATTTGATATAACATCTCTACTTTCACAGGCTTTCCGTGCTGCTAAGGCTCCAGTTCCAGCTGAAAACTTTGTCCGCACTACATTCGAATTCATCCGCACCAACAAGCTTCACGTAGTAGCCTCTGCTTTCACATTCGGACGCGAAGATCTCATTCCACTCATGTTCACTGGAATCCTTCGTGACATGAACAAGGGAATGGATGGAGCTCTTGACAGCTTTATCCTTTACCTTGAAAGACACATTGAGGTTGATGGAGAAGACCACGGACCAATGTCTTTGAGACTCATCGAAGAGGTAAGCCACCAAATAAAAAACAAATATCTAAAACGAAAATCGCTATAGGTCTGTGGACCCGATGGAGATCCAAGATGGGAAGAAGCTATTGAGACTGCTATCAAGTCTCTCAAAGCCAGAATCACCCTCTGGGATGGGGTCGTAGCTGAGCTTGATGCCAGACGCAAGTGATTTGCTAAAAATACATAGAAGAATTGTAAATGATATACTACTAGCACCAACTAGTTAAAATGTAAAAAAAAACATGATTGCGAATTAATAAATTTACTGAATAATATAAATAGTCTTCTGTATCTTGAACACATGAGAGAAAGTACTGTTGTAGTAAAAAGATGAAGAAACGATACTGGTCAGCAAATTGAGCTCTCTTCAGCTGAAAAACATCTGGTATTCCATTCTTTCATTCTAGAATAGAACTATCTCTTATAATCAGTGAAAATATAGAAATTCTGAAGAAAAGCAGGAAAAGAAATATAAATAAATACTTTTAGGGATGTTCGATAATTAATACGCAAATTTCGCAGTAGAGCACCTTTTGCCTGGAGTTATCTGTACTCACGACATGTCCAATCAACAGGACAGCCCTTTAATAGGAAGTGAGCGATTATAATTTCAGATCATAATTTATTTTCGAATAATAAGAAAGAATTGTCATATGTCATAAAGATCAAACCATGAGGTGAAAAAGCTCAATGTATCGCAATCATCGGCAACACCTTCGAACCATTAGGAGTCTTGTATATGAAACAAAAAAACATGGAAAACAAACCAACTTCCACATATTCGAAAGATTATTATCAAGTCTACTACCACGTGTTGAGTTTTCGAAGTGAAATACAGACTGTTGGTGAGGTTCAGATGATATCCGGACTTCGATGCGTTGTTGCCTTATGTGTGCCTGGATTTAATTAGACCCATTGAGTAGTTTTTTTTCCACATTCAGCGCACTCCGATCACGATTGATCTCTAATCAAAGAAAAATAAAACATCTGAGACGCGATTCGTTAGATTTGCGATGAAAATGTTTCCGCCTGGCGGTTTCCAAACAAACTTTCGATATTTTTTCCCATAATACATTTTCCAATCAATGAATGAGTATGATAACCAAATTTGAAATAAAATTTTAATATGAAAAGACGTTTAAAAGAGCCGAATACGTCAAGTTTGAGCTTTTTTGATAAGTTACAGCTTTTTCGCAAAAGAGAACAACCGGGTCATTTTTTTTTTCACGTAAAAATTATTTTCACGTGGCGCATTTCCGCGGGGGTATATAAGCTGTGGACCAGCCGAATCACGTCAGTTGGCGGTGTGAGCCGGTGAGCTCCACTCCTCTCTCTCTGGAGGTCCTCCAGAGAGGGGAGAAAAGCTCATCGGCTCTCATGCCAGGGATAGGGCCTGGACATGTCCGGGCCTTACCCAGACCGTCCAGAACGGTTGCATTCCACCCCTACCGTCCAGAACGGTTGCATTCTACCCCAAACCGTCCAGAACGGTTGCATTCTACCCCAAACCGTCCGGAACGGTTGCATTCTACCCCAAACCGTCCAGAACGGTTGCATTCTAACTCCTACCCTCCAGAACGGTTGCATTCCATCCCTACCGTCCAGAACGGTTGCATTCCACCCAAACCGTCCAGAACGGTTGCATTCTACCCTCAATCGTACGGAACCTTTGTTTACAAGGTAACAGTTATATTATGACGGTTACATTTACATCAAAATTTAAGTAAGATCAAAAAGAAAAGAACGTGAAGTAGCCTCAGACTGTTTCAAAGCATCGTCTTCGAGATCTGATCCGAAAAGATCCTCATCATCATCCATTATGAACTATGC